GTTATTTATTACATACATTTAATTATATTACTTCTAAAATACCAACTACTAATGAAGTAATACTAACAAATATTTGTTTGGTCAAAATTAGTTAATTGGAATTAATTAAACGGTTTTTTCCTCTACTGTAAAATTTGGTGTTTTGTAGTTACGCCGTTTGCTAAATAGGCTGACGATATGTGTATTGATGTGAAAATATCTTAATCGTCCTTTTATCGTATAATTGTCTACTATTTAAGTAAAATGCAATTTGTTTTTATGTACCTTCACCGTTGTACGTCGACCTGGGGCCTTACAATTCTCGACAGGATGTGAAAATTTTGGAAAGTGAACTGACGAACGCGAAGAATTTGCAAGGAATACAGCAGAAGGATGAGGATGAAGTTACGGTAGTGAGGGTGGCTCCAATATCTCTCGTGACCAAAGTCGACAGTGACGATGCTAAAATGCAAGCCGTGGACCGAGACTTGCATGTGGCCCAGGCGAAGTTGCGTAACACTCTGTATGCCAACGACTTGTTGAATCGTCGGATTTGGAAGGCTCAGGACGTGTTGTTAAGTGTCTACGAGAAAGCGTCGGTTCATCTGGAAGAGGTATTGTTGATATCTGTATAAAAAATTATGAAATACTGTTCGTTGGTAATCCAGTTTGGACCAGTTTGGTTCATTTTTTCAAAAATGTTTTAATAGTTTGAATAAGGTTTTTACGGGAAGACAATTTGGAAAAGTTGATCAAAAAATTGGAACACTCGAAAATTACGATAGTACCTAGATAGTAGAAATTAGTAATTTTTTTAAACAATATAAATAGCTGCCACTGCAGGTCACTCGGGTAGATAAGTAAAACCATTCATACAACCGTGGCGTTTATTTAAGGAAATTATATTTTAAAACAAATATGAGAGTTGCATACTGTACGTTTTGGCTTACCTATATACTCAAAAACTAATTGACTGATTTTATGAAAATTTAAAATTGTTCTTAGAAATATAAGGAAAGTTTTTAGAGAATAGTTTGAATCATGGTCGATTTAAACCAAGTGCTATTATATCCAATCCGCCACAGGCGAATTTCCCATCTCGGTCAAATTAGTTCACAAAGTGAGGTACACGGACGCCGATTTACCAGTGAACTGAGGTACACTAAAACCAAGAAAAACACATATATAACGTAATATTTTATATATTTTTTTCACGCTAAAAATTGATTTTTGTTTATCCAAGGTTAATAGACTCAATAACTACTGGACCTCTTTAAATAATAATAGATTCCTTGAGACTTGGAGGGTGTTTATAGATTTTTTTTGAACCCCTCTATTTAGCTAAAGGGTAGTTCTCACAACATGCAATTTTTTCACAAAAAAGAATATTTTTTTTATTTATTTAAATCGTTGGCATTGGTTACATATTATATTTTACATTTATATCATATATTAGCTGAATATCATTGTAAAATCAATATATTAATTATTACTCTGCTCAGAATCTAAAATGTGTTCAATAGAATGTATTTATGAAAACAATTTATGTTTCCAATAATACATACATTTATTTAAAAAAATACGGTTTACTTTTAGTAAATTGGAAACTCTATTTAGTTCATTATTATAAGTATGTCAAGTGTATACAAGAACGGATGAAAGTTTTTCCAACTTTGCATGTGATAGGGTTTCTTAATAATGGACACCTATTTTTCGCCCTATAAAACTAACTTTTTAAAACGACCATTATCGTGAGATTCTATGTCTTGAACTGACGATATAATCTCAAATTTTAATTTTCAAATAACAATAAGAACAACGTATTTAAATATGACAGTGAGTGTAATGTGTATGTCAAAGTCACATCGAATGTACCTAAGATATACCTATATAGCTGCAGAAGGTTAGTTACCAATGGACTATATTTTTATATTACAATTGTTATACATTTCTAACACGCTGTGTAAATTAAATAATACATAATTAATATAATAGCATAAATATTTCGTTTTTAGATAAAATCGAATACAGACGACTGCAAGGAAAAAATGAATGATTTTATTCAGAATCTGGACAAAGAGTTAAAAGCACTTTAACATTGAAGAAGGAAAATTCAAAAAAACCATGAGAAACTTGATACAGTTTTATATAGTTCAAGAAATGTTTGAATTAAAAATAATAATGTTCCAAGAAACAGTCTGTTTCAAGCAAATTGGTTTATGATAAAATAATGCAATACAATAAGTATTTTTTAAAAACTCATGTTCAACAATATGCAGTTACAAATAAAATAATATACCTACTCCCAATAATTTTGGTATTTTGCATTTTACTACTAAAGTAATACTAGTGGGTATAAACTATATAATAATATTGAACTACATAGTGTTTTATTTTTGGTTAAATTTGTGGCTATTAGATCCCATTTCATTAGTTATACATTTTTACTAAAACATATTAACGCAATCAAAGTATAATATACTATAGTATACAGTGAAACCTCCCCTAACGGACACCTCCTAATAGTACAGTCTTATTGGAAACAAACTACAAACTTTCTACGATCTGAACCATCTGAATAGCGGACAAAATTTCAGGTACCAAGGGCGTGTCTCGACTTCAGTGGTTTCACTAGGCGTGTTTTCGCGCTTAACCAAATGTAACCTGGTTACTATATTTTATAAACAAGTCGTTTTCGCGGTTTTGGTTATATTTTTGGTAATAACTTTTGGTTTTAGGTAACTGATAATTTGTAACCATCAAAATGAAATGGTTTTATTGTTTGGTTATTGATAATATACGAAATAATATGATGATAATTGATAATAATTATTTAAAATATTTTATTTTATTTGTTCCGCACGTTCGCTGATGGTGGACTTTCAGTCTGCACATTAGCATTTAGCATACTTTATTACTTTACTTATATAACGTGAGTGCCTGAGTGCAGAGTACGTACAATAAGTACTAATAAAGTTACTGTACATAAGTTTAAATTTTATTTTCTTGCAACATAATGGCATCCGAAACAGAAACCGGAACGTTTTTAAACTATATCCTGTCTGATGGAGAATAATATTTTCGGAAGATAAGTCTCATATCCTTTGCAATGTGATAATTCAAGGTACATATAAAAAAGAATTTAACTACCTATTTAAAATTACAAAACTATTATTACATTATTTCAAATGTATATCAATTAGAAATATAATTTCGGTTAAAAATACATTGAACAAATTAAAATTTTGATTTGATATTTGTTTGTCTGAACAAATTGAATATACCATGACAGATACAAACATATTTAATTTATATATGTTATCATAGACAAAGAATGTGAAATGTGGGTACCAGCATCATCTTTGGTGGACGGATTAGATGAAGATTTGAATTCTAATGATGAAAAGCTATCAGATAATGGTAAATTTATAAAATTTTAATTTAATTTTTTTAAACTGACTGTTTTTTTTTTTTAGTATGATAGGTCTATAAAAAAATATTAAAACTTAAGCATACAGTGTGCATTCTTTACATTTATAATTTTTGTGTTGTAGAGTTAAATATTTCTAACGATGAAATATGGTGTTCACGCAAGCCCAAACCCCAAGATGTTAAAGCTACTGAAGACCTTTTGAATATAATCAAGCTTGAAGGTATTCAGAAACAGTTACTGGATAAAAAGATTCCAAAGTATAAAGTATGGGAAAAAATAGCTCTAAAACTGCAAGAAGATCATGGGTATGTGGTAAGTAAATCTTTAAAAGACAGTGGAATGAAATGCCATCAAAAATGGAGGAATTTAGAAAAAGCATATATGGCCTTTATTCAAAATAGTAAGAAAACAGGAACAGGAAAGACCAAAACTCCAGCATACTTTGATTTACTTCATTCCATATTAGGTAGTAAACATAAAGTAAAACCAGCCGTCTTACTAGATACTTTGGAAATAGATAACTCAGTTTTTAATGAAACTATTGTTGAAAAACCACTAAGCATTGAACAAATGCCAATAGAAAAGAAAAAAATATTATCTGATGATGAAGATATTAATACTGAAACAAGTTCACATTTTAAAAAAATTAAAACTTCTACAAAACCAAAAGATTTAAAAAAAGAACTTATTGATGAAATACGATTACAACATCACGAAGACATGGCATTGCAACAAAAATTAATTCAAATATTTGAAAAATCAGTAGAAGAACAAAAAGAGCAACGTCTAATTTTAAATAACGCTTTGCTAGCTATTGTAGAAACTTTTAAAAAACAGTAATTTCTACAAATCACTTACCTTATCTTTATATAAACCACTGCCGTGACTAAAATTATATTATTAAGTTTATGGTTTTATTTTTATTCGATCTAAAAGTATTCAAGGTGAAGTATACTATTTTTTGAATAACTTTTACTATCTATTGTAGAAACTTAAAAAAAAATTATATTCATTGTGACTGATTATAAGTTATAAGTTTTTTGTTTTATTTTTATTTTATCAAATAGTATTCAAGGTGAAAATACTTATTTTATGAAGTTACATTTTTAATTTTTATATTTCTTTTTACTATAAAAACTAGTTGTGAATAACACTTTTCTAGCTATTGGAGAAACTTAAAGAAAAATGTATATTCATTGTGACTGATTATATTATTAATTTTTTTATTTGATTTGATTTAAAAATGCATGTAATAATGTATCTGATAGTATTCAAGATAAAGTATACTATTTATGTTTAATTGATTTTATATTTGCTGTTTTTATTTTTACTACTAATTAGTAAACAGTCATAACAACTCACTGTATGAATGGTAGTAACAATAGTTTATTTTTAAATGTAATTGTTTTTTATTAATACATTTATAATTCATTGTTATGTTGTACTTTTTTTTAGCTTTTTGTTGTAAACAAAATATTAATAAATAAATAAAAATTGTTTTGTTTTAATTGAAACTTTAATTATTCATTTATATTTTATACAATTTTTATATTAAGATAATATACACGCATTAGATACATACAATCAATTATATATTTAACAGTCTTAAAATTTCATTTCTTTTTACATCTCCAGTTAAAATTTCAAATCTATTTCTTGTATGTTCTTGGCTTTCATTAACTTTGAGAATATTTTCAACAACAACATCGAGGTAATCATCATTTAAAAGACAAAAATTATGAAGTACACAACAGGCAAGTATAATTTTTGAGGCTTTTTTCATGTTTGTTGTATTTATGTATAACAAACGCCTCCATCTACCTTTAAGTAAACCAAAGGCATGTTCTATGCATACCCTTGCTTTGCTTAGTGTATAATTAAATTGTCTCTGTCTACTATTCAAATTTCCATAGTCTTTAAAGGGAACAATCAACCAGCTAAGATTAAGGTACGCAGAGTCTCCTAGCAAATGATATTTATAACTGTAAAATAATTCTTCTTGCCCTTCTTCATCAACTTTTATGGACACTTGACTATTAACAAAAACCCTAGCATCGTGTAGCCTACCAGGGAACCCCACATTTACATTTGTAAATATTTTATTGGATGTACAAATTCCTTGCATTAGAATTGATTTGTTTAATTTTCTATCTGTATAGCTATCCTGTTGATCTGCAGGAGGTTTTACAGTAAAATGGCATCCGTCAATAGCACCAATAACACCTACATTTTAATAATTTCAATAATATAACATTAATGAATGAAATACATTTTAAACTAAATTTGATAATATTTACCTGGAAACTTGGACTTTTCATGAAAAACTTTCGCAATTTCTACACAGTCCGATTTCTTAGGCCAAACAATTATTTTAGAGGAGAATTTACATAATTGATTTACCACTAGGTCTACAGCTTTTTTTACAGTAGATTTTGCAATGTTGAAAAATTCACCAGTGGTGAACATAGCTCCTTCTTTAGCTAAGTACCATAGAGTTATCAATAACTAAAAAAATGACATAATTTAGTTTTAAATTTGTTTTATACTTAGTAACTATAATTCGTTTACTTTTTTTTCAATTGACAAAGGTTCATGGCCTCCAGTATAAGATACATCCATTTGTGCATCTTGCCTAAACATTGATACCAGTTTTGTAAAAGTACTTCTTGTCATTCGGAAATGTCTATGTATGTAAAACAATAATATACAACTATGTAAATCATGAAAAATTTAAAAAAAAAAACTAAATTAAATAATCCATTAGTATATCACTTACCCATGAAAATCATTGTCAATGTATGCTTCTATCCATTTATCAACTGTATTATTTATCCTATAATGTTGTTGTCTTTTTAAAAATGTTGAAATTAACTTTCTTCTTTTTTTAACATTATTTTTAATTATATTTTGATGAAGCATTAGATTGGAACACATTTGTACATACTACATATTCATTATTCAATTGAGTTAACTGATTTAAAATTATAGGTAAGACGGCGGTTTCCATAGTTAATTATTATTTCAATATGATGTAGGTACCCCTAATGGCCTAATATAATAATTATTTAAATAAAAAATACTGTAAATAATTTTACTAAGACCGTTAAACATTATACACTATTACTGTATTACACAAATAAAGTTGTACACTTCACAAAAATAAAATAAAATAATAACAAATAATAATTTATTTATAAATATATCGGTTATCTATTTCCTACAATCTTTTATAACCACAAACACATCGTTTTCGCGAGTCTTTGACCAATAACCAAAATCTTATAACCACGTCTGATTAAAAGTATAAACAAGTTAAACGCGAAAACACGGCTACTGTATTAATATTATATTCACTTTTTATTTGTTATCATCTATAGATAGTTGTTTTATTCAATGCATAAAATATTAATGCATGTCCAGTTATTAAAATGTATCTGTAAAAATGTTGATGGAGGTTAGGCGTAAGATTATATTATTAATATGGTTTTTTTAATCATATGACATTACAATTAAACATAAACACTATACTTCCAGATACACTAATGTTTGAGGTCGTATTCTTAGATTCTATACTTTTATCTCAGACGACGATTGTATTGCATAATTGATAATAGTAACAACTTACTGTCCATAGACATTCTCTAGCGAAACCACAGCCGCCTACTGTGAGTTTCGCGACCGTGGACGCACGGTATAGATCGCGTCCTCGGGTTGCGGATAGAGGGAAGCCCGGTTCCCTCGGTAGCTTCCGAGTCGGGTAGCCGGCGAATAACTAATAACCGGCCGCGGACAGCTTCGATTAAATGACCCGTAGTTCCGGACAGTATGTCCTCTGGGCCGGTTCACGGTCGCCGGCTGGGCCACCGACCCAGCCGGTGGTGCTCTTAACATGAGTTGAGAGCACGGGCGCCGGAGTTCGCTCCGTCCAGCAGCCGGGCGTCTCAGCGTAAGCCGGGTTTGGACATGTCTCCGGGACACTGCGGTGAGTGTTACGGGCTCGCGGCTGATGGCTCGTCTGTTTAGAGTCCCTAATTCGGTAGGCGAGGGTGGTCGTCGCAAATAGTCCCACCTTTGACTGAAAGGTAGGGCTGTCGTCAGCTTGGGCTGGGCGCCTCGGCTCGGCAGGCATCCGGGTCGGGACGTTTGGCCAGACCGACCCGAGGACACGGGTCCTTGCTGATGATGGTTCGAAAGGGTGGTGGCCGAGATTAAATTCGCACCCCGCGGGCGCTCGTCCGCGGTTAAGGCAGACCAATGCCCGTCATGTCGGACTAGAACTGGTAGCTCTCGAGGGGGCGTAAGTCTGACTGAAGGCGCTTCAGTACCACGGGAGTGAGCGGGGCCCCGTCGGCAACGACGCCGCTCACCGCGGGCGTCCAGTGATGGTTCACGCCCCTGGACGTCCGTTGCCGGTAGGAATCGTGGTGGCGGTTTTCTTAAACGAATACTTTGTGGTTAAGTCAACAGATGCTTATTCTAAGTTCTCGCTGACAGGCGAAAACCTCTGATGAACGGCCGTCACGACCCGTGGGCGCGAGTCACCGGTTCGTGGTCGGTTCCTCTCGGGCGTCTAGCCGCTATACCGGTGTAGTATCATCGGAGGTTGAGTGTAACCAGAAACACTCGGTGTGGGGATAGCGCACAGCCAGACCAGGCGAATTCAGGCGGCACTTGGCCAGTATTCTTGGTACGGGACCTCGGTTCCGGTGCTCGTGGTCCGTAGACGACGCGCGGTTGACGGACTGGGCCACCGTACGTCGACCGTGAACCTCCGCGGCTCTCGACTAGCGCACAGCGCTAATATGAGGTCCGCGGTTGTAGCCGCAAGGCGTCAAAACCGGGAGTCTTCGTGTCCATAGACATTATCAGCTCAAGTATTATCCCTTCCATAGTTCTGGATAAAAATATAATAGTAAATATTATATGTTACCTATCCATTTAAGTTAGTTTATTTCCCAAGAATGTGTTGACTTTGTTCACTACCGAATTCATTTTAATATTACACCTTTTGGTAGTGTGTAATAAATAACTAACAAACCATGGGCTGTAATAGATAGTGTAAGTGAAACATTTTCAGGTACAATTTATGATAATGGCACGCTTTAAACATTAAGTATGTTTAGAAAGTATTTTTGAACTGAAGAACAAAAAAAAAAGGCGGACAGAATATACACAGGCAGTAGTAGTTTGGTGGGGTGGAGGTGGAGGAGGACACAATATTCTAGCTTCGTTTACTTCAATTCGCAGAGTAGGTAGGTACCTCTATACTGATTCAATTTTCGACTTATGCAGATTAATATTTGAAGCATATTTTTCATTTCGAAAAATAACGTATTTACAATTTACACATTTCTTGGAATTATAAAACACTAAACTATAAAATACTTGAATAATGAAAAAGTTTATAGACTACCGCAGAATATAATTTAATCAATTTATTGAACTCTACAGTATGAAAAAAGTTAAACGGTCTCAATAAATAAAAAAATATCAATAACTTTTGCGGTATAGGAATAGTATTAGGCTTATTATATATATGACCCTGAGATAATAGATGAATAATGCAAAAGGGTAGAGAGCATATTTCTTCGAAGTCCTGCAATAAAACATATACGTTCTAAACTGCAGGTCTCCTCAATAACGGGTTGAATTTTTTTTCAACCCTCACTGATCAAACATATATTATAAATTATAATTGTTGTTAAATTACTTTGATTTAACTTAAATGCAAACAAGTGATAAACGTCAAAAAAAAAAAAAAAAAAATGAGTATCAATTGCGAGTCAATTACTTATTTTACCTAATTAGAATGTCCGTGGTAGGAGGAAGAAGTCATTTTTTTTATAAATAACAGTATAGTTTATACTTAGTTATATAACTTATATTAATAGATAAATATACAGATTATGAGGAATTTTAGTTAATCTAATCTATATTTAGACCATTAATATAGTTAATCAAGTATTTTAAAATCAACTATGTTGAAACTGGTTTTATTTAAAGTCTACATTTTAATTTACTACCAGAAACCACCCCCAAAGTTAATGGTCAAACCATTTTTTCTACTATAAATCGTGTTGGTACACATGTACACAAAACAAAACACACATCATTGTGAATTTAATACATTTTCCACTCGGAATCTGAAATAAAATAATAATTTTTAAGAAAAAAACGACAATAATTATGACTTTATGAGTTTATTGAGAAAAATCAATTTGTAAAAATCTTCAATGGGGTTTCTGAGTGGAGCAAAGTTTACTACAGAAAAACATCTATTATTCATATATTTAACATATATACACAGTATTTAAATTTTAAATACATGCACAGGGTGACTTTTTAAGCATGCTCACAATTTTTAGATTCCGAGGCTAGTGGTTTTACAATGGTCTTTATTTTATATTTTTTTTTATATCCTGTATACAAAATATCTACCAGAAGGAGTGCTTCGATTTCAACATATAGTACCTTATATTTTAGCAAATTGGATCAAGATTTTACTTTAGAAAGGTCATTTTTCGATTTTCTCAATAGTTAATTAATGCCATAGGCAAAACCACCGGAAAATTACGAAAAACCGCTAAAAATGGGATTTTAATTTCCAACTCTTTGTTTGTCACCATAGAAACAAATAAAAAATTATAATAACTATTATAATATAAATTCAACTTACAGGATATAATAAATAATAACAATATCCAGACTGACAAACCGTCTCCGCTCAGAATCGTTTTTCTTATACAATGATATTATACCATTGGATTCAAGTTTAATACAATCTATTATACATTTACCCACTTGTAACCTACTGTACAGCAGAGCGACATCCACTTACCCACTTTTTTTTTATATTTAAATAATAATATGCATATATTAAAATATTGATTTTTCACAACATTTAATGATTATTCCATGGTGATACTAACGTTGGTTTTTCAAATGAGATACATGTTTTAATGACAATTGTGACGCAGATGGTTTTTCTGGAAATGTTGATGTATTGTAATTTGTAATTATTGCAATTTAAATGAAAAGTTTCTGAGTAATTCTACTTTAACTACTAAGGATAATAGCCTATTAGATATACTTTATAAATCGGTGCAAGCTCAGTTATTATAATAAACTAAATATATGCAACATACAATATATATGTTAGTAATTACCACTTAGTCAAGTATAATAAGACAATTATTCAATAACAAAAAAATACTTATCGATTAATTTTGATCATTTTCAAAACAAAAGTAAATTATATCCTTTTAACAGACTAATATCCTTAGAATTTAAAGTAGAACAACTAAGAAATATCCCTTTCAAATTCCGCCTACAATAGGTCAATATTCTCAGAAAAAATCATCAGATTCACAATTTACATTAAGACATGCAGGTTTCTAATACCATCAAATGTTTTTACTTCTGGGGGGTAAAATTAACCTTTTACATTTTCACTAGGACTTAAAATAAGCCTAGGATATTTTTAGTTTTTATCTCACTGTAAAATGATTCAGGGGGGGGGGGGGTGAAAATAGATTAGTATATTTTTACCCCTCAGCAAAATACATCCAGACTCCAGAGCGGGGTAAATTAAATAGGTTTTTTTACCCCTCGATAAAAATATACTAGGTTTTTTACCTCTTCCCAGTCAAGTATATATTAGGTTTTTTTTACCCCCCAGTTTTTGTCGTTTGTGCAAATGTATTGATAATTTCACAAACGCATATAATAGTTATAATAATTATATGCTCGCTCATGGAACAATGCCAAGCCTGTCCAGTCTATTTCGTTCCATTATTGACCATGTTTTCAATTTTAAAAAATGGATACAAATAATGCCACATTTTAAATTGTTTTATCATTGTTTTATCAAAAAGTTTTATCTGTTGGGCCAAAAAATGTAAAAATTAAATACAATGCTCCTGATATATTGTTAC